CCCCCCCCAAAGACCTTTTCACTCCTTTCATGGGTTCTCACCTGTTAAGTTATACTGAGGAGGTTGCCAAACCCTGGAGGAATCCCCCCTACACACCCCATAAGATGATATTTCTCACTCAATAGGTATTGAATTAAAGTATACAGAACAAAAATTAATATTAAGGACCTCTGTTTTCAACAAATGAGAGGGCTGCTAATTTTAATATAAATGCTCACAATTAAAAAAATAGTATCAATATAGGAAAAAATCATTAAGGACAAGCAGATAACAGACTACAGCTAGCCAATCAACACATGTTGGAGAAGAAAAGTTCAGTCACTAATAAAGTTATTCCAATGAGAATGAGAATTCTTATTAGTGATCTGGCCAAAGTTATGGGGGAAAGGCAGTGTTGAAAGAGAGGAGCACTCACATGCTTCTTGGGACATTTATAGGCCTTTAAAGGTTCACATCCCTTGCCCCAATCCCTAACCGGAGGAAACAGCCTGAACTCTGCACAGTGCACACAGTACAATGTGTTATGAACAGAAGAGTCACTGAAGCAACAAAAACTGCCTAAATGTCCAGCAATGTGTTCAGATACTGACATGGTTACTAAAAGCTTCTGATTACATGCAAAGCATTGAGGCTAAATTAGACAGGAAAATAAAAGCTCAGAACAAAACAGTACATAGGCATGACGTAATTTCAATTACTTTGTGGTTTGTAGGAAACAGCTCTCTCTCTTCCCAAATTTTCTACAATGATCATATATATTTTCCGGTTCTAAAAGTAACAAAAAGATAAGGGACCATTACAGAGAAACTGAGGTCTCCGAAGCACGCCCCAGCATCTAAAAAGGGCCCAGGACACTCAAGGCAGGCGAGGTCCCGCCTCTGGCCTGCTTTACTGGGGTGGGAGTATCCCAGGTTAAATGCTGTCGTGGGGTCGCCCACTGCTCGAGCACCATCAATTCTCTGCCACTCACTTTTCTGACTGCATTTAACAAACACTCCTTGGCTACAGTATACCAGGCACTATGTTAGGCTCTGAGTTTTGCGTGCAGGAGGGTATCAGCCTCGAATGGGACACTTCTGCCTTGGGCATTCCTAAAAGAACAGAACCACCGCCTGGGTGCCCGAAGGCCGACGGGAGGGCCAGCTGCTCCCAGGGGCATTCCGGGCGGTGGGTGAATCACAGATGGGCAGGGCAGCGGCGGCCCCCGGGCCCAGCCCTGGGCACTGAGTCATTCCAAAGCCAGCGCTGCCGGAAACACGACCCACGACGCAGGAGGAGGAGTCCCGAGGGCGCGGCCAGGACCTCACTTCCTCGCGGCCACCTGGGCGCCTCGGGCCTCCGGGCGGGTCTAGTACACGCGAGAGAGGGAAGCCGGGGGCGGGGGGTCTCCGCCCCGAGCCGCCCCTTTGCGAGGACACAGTACGCGACCCGTCTGGGGCCGGGCAGCGGGGAGGCAGCTGGGGGTCTCCGGCCCAGACCCGCTCCCGTGGGAGCCCCCGCCGCCCAGCGCGGGTGGGTCACACCACTCACGGGGAGGGAGTGGCGGCCAGCAGCTCTGTTTTCTCCAAAGGGCCCTCCATCTCCTCGCCCGGGCTCGTATCCGGATACAAACGGGGGCCCACGCGTGGTTTCCCAGACGGCGGTGCAGGAAGCGCGGGGAGAGGCCGCCCGCATAGTCCACGCGCGCGCGTGCGTTCCCCGGGCGCACTGGGCACCCCGCC